CTTTTAAATGAAAAAAGTGCACAATACACTACTTTTGAATTCATTATTGAATTGTGTGCATAACAATGCGATTATTATATAATCGTTGCCCAGCACTAATATATATATATAGATATAGCTCAAAATTATAATAAAAAATATTTTTATTTTTATATTTCAGGTATTGCACTTTCACCAATAAGCACAAATCAATAGAATGTGGACTTTATTTGACCTCATCTAGTGTACTGATTTATTACAGGCTATTTAATATTTAAATGAATATCAAAGACTTAGATATGCACTCTCTCTGTCTGCATTATGAAAACTGGCAAAAACAAACAAAAAATATTTGAACAGTAAAATTCCTAAAAGTAATTCCAATAATTCCAAACTGCAGTAATGTTACTCTATTAAAACAACAGTGGTTGAGTAAGTGCATTTATTCAGCAAACACATTCATCAAAATGACAGAACACAAACAGACTTAATGATACTTTCATTTAAGCTGAACATCTCACATGGAGATCGCTAAACATTTCCGCAATGAAGAGCGAGCGCGTGCGCATGGTTGCCAGATTGCAAAACACCCGGCAGAAAATGCATCCTTTTAACAGAGAACAACTCTTGATATCTGGCAACCGCACACATTAAAGCTCGTGCAGTAGAGGCATGTACAGCAGTCCGCAATAATATTTTGTCTCCTTTTTTTTCGACGAAAATAAAAAGAAATTTTGGTATAGTTTTTATTCTTTAAAATTCATTTTAGTCTCGTCTTTTATCGTCAACGATATTGCATGTTGATATAGTCACAGTTATCATTTATTGACCTTATTCTCGTCTCGTCTTAGTCATGGGAAAAAATCTCATCAACGAACATTTTTCATTAACGAAATTAACACAATTGCTGTGAACGGCCCTTTAGTGTGTTTTTGTTCTGAGCTGCAGTCGCCATAGTGACGGACTGAGCTGGGCTGCGTTTCTCGTTAACGATTGATCTTAACGCTTAAGAGCGTTTTCTACGAGTCAATTTACGATCATTCGTTATCGTTTCACGTGCGTTTCCCAAAAATGCACTTAACGTGATCGCACGAAGCCGTACTTTAAGTGATACTTAGGAGTCGCTATCCGTTTGTCAAGTGCTGAAATGGCTCGTAATTGTAGCCTACTACACACTCGTTTATTGACGAGTATACTTTACATAATAATATATAATATACTTTATATATATATACTGTATATATATATATAGAGAGAGAGAGAGAGAGAGAGACAGAGACGTTATTTCCGGGTCCAATACATGGCTGGTTTTCGTGCACGTCAGCAAGTCATTGATAGATTTTTTTCCCAGTCTTTGAAGCATATTTCCTACATTACTTCTTTTATTTATTTTATTTTTTTGTTCAGTCATTTAATTTAGGTGTGTATTTCTATTTTTTATAAATTAATAATAAAAAAGAGTAATAACGTGTACAATAAAGTACAATCAAATCCTTATATTATAATCACATTGCACTTGAATAAAGTTAAAGGTGTAATCTGCCGATTGTCCTGCAGGTGACCGCATAAATCTGTCTTCTTACGATGCACTTAAGGCTTTACGATTACTCCAGAGCACTCGTAGATCTACAATGATTGAATCTACAATGATAGAAAGTGCTACTTAAGTTATGATGATTTTGGGAAACAGACGGTAATATTAAGATCAGTTGTACAATCGTTTTTACGAACTTCTTAGGCTTATGAAGCTTTTGGGAAATGCAGCTCTGGTCCATTATGATCCCATGCTGATCTCAACAATAAGCCCTGAAATCACAGGCAGAGGATCCTTCTCTGAAGCTGACTTTGCAGAAAGTCACTGTGTGATTCACATACGGAGGGAATCGAGGCGGAAATAGGATTTCCGGTGGTGTGTGTGTGACCCTGATTTCCTAATCCAGTTTACCCAATTCAGCCCAGACAGACTAGCAAGTTTCTGAAGGGTGTCGGATCCCTCCGAGTGTTTGTGTGTGAGAGGAGCAAACGGAGGAGAAGCGGGTGAATGTGAAAATGAGCCTTCATATCGTCTTGGTTCCCGCCGGTTTCGTCAGTCACGTGAGCATCTCCTCTCTGACCTCCTGCCATGATTCTCCACCGAAGAGACGGGCCTTTATTATGCTCCCAAACGACATGAAAGAAGCTTCATCTCCTCTGGGGAAAGAATGCACAGAGTAATGATTGGGAAGAATGGCCATCGCTGATGGAAATAAGAGAGTGGGATACGAAAGTCATGAGTGAAAGAGTTCAGAAAGAAGAAACTAAACGCTGCATAATTAACCGTTACTCTAATGAGACTTTATAACACGTCTGATGAAGAGAAACTGAATGTAGATGCTCTCCACACAAACGATGAGCAGTTTCTCCTTTTATTTGGATCTTGATAGACTCAAAGCAAAAGATCAGATGATAACTGCAATGATAGCAATAAAACTAACAATAGCTATAACAGGAGCTATAGCAGTTATGATAACTGCAACGACAGCTATAACAATAATGTTAATGATAACCATAACTACCGCAATAATATATAGTCATAACTGTAACAATTACTATAGCTATAACTATTATGATGACTATAACTAAAATAAATAACTGTAATTAACTTTAACCAAAATTTTAACAATAACAATAACTATAGCAATTATGATAACTGTAACAACAGCAGTAATAATAACTATAAGGATAACAATAACTGCAACAATAAAAACGATGATTAGAACTATAATCGTTACTGTAACTATAAAAATAACTATAGCTATAATGATAATAACTAATGACTATAGCAATATCTATAGCAATAACTTTTAACAATAACAACTATAACAATAATAATAATAACCATAAATATAACAATATAAAAAATATAATGATAATAACAATAAACTTAATTATAGCAATAACAATAATAGCAATAACTATAACAACAATAACAATAATTATATCTATAACAATAATGATAATAACAATAACCTTAACTATATCAATAGAAATAACGACAATAACTATAACAATAATGATAATAACAATAACCTAAACTATAACGATAACAATAGCAAAAACAACAACAATAATGATAATAATAATATCATTAACTATAACTATATCAATAGCAATAACTATAACGACAATAACATAACAATAACGATAACTATAACAATAATGATAATAACAATAACCTGAACTATAACGATAACAATAGCAATAACAACAACAATAATGATAATAATAATATCCTTAACTATAACTATATCAATAGCAATAACTATAACGACAATAACGATAACGATAACTATAACAAGAATGATAATAACAATGACCTTAACTATAATGCTAACAATAGCAATAACAACAACAATAATGATAATAACAATATCCTTAACTATAATTATATATATGTATATATATCGATATCAATAACTATAATGACAATAACAACCATAACTATAACTATAACAATAATGATAATAACAATAACCATAACTATAACAATAGCAATAACAACAACAATAATGATAATAACAATAACCGTAACTATAACGATAACAATAGCAATAGCAATAACAACAACAATAATGATAATAACAATATCCTTGTTAAGGGGCTGACGAGACGTGAGACGTGTGGATCCATCTGCAAGCTTTTATTTAAGAGACGTGGTCATAACAGGCAGGGTCAAACAATGGCAAACAGGTATATGGAGGGCAAGACACAAGAATAGTCCAGTTTGTGTTGTGCGAGAGTCACTGTAATGGAAGTCCATGGAGAGGATTCATGACAATCCTTAACTATAATTATATATATAGCGATAGCAATAACTATAACGAAAATAACAATACATTTTTTGGGAAATGAATAGTAGTGCATGATGAAGTGAATTGAACAGCCTGAGGTGTGTGAAGTTAATTAAAGCTGCATTAAAGCAGATTCTGCTTTTAGAGGATGAGATGAAACCAGATACAGTCTCAGATTGAGGTTAATGATCAATCAGATGTGTCAATGTAATCAGACAGACATGTTCGAAAAACACACCCAAAATACTCGTCTGGACATCTCAGTGTGAGGCCTGTTAATAAAACTTTGATTGTGTTCGAATCACATCCAAAAATAATCAGATTTACAGGTGTATATTTAGAGTGAATATTCATCTGTAAATCTGATTAAATTACATGTGATTTTGCAGTGTTATTTTTTATAGTTTTAACGTTTTGTTGTGTTTTTATATGTAGATAGATGGATGGATGGATGGATGGATGAAAATTAAGATGCTAAATGCACGTGTATAAAAACCTCCTGCGTTTGTAGTTTTTTATGAAGATGTTGTGTTATTGTTGTGGCTGTTAGCTGCTGGTGAGTTCAGGTTTTCTATTCTGAAACATTTGGATGCAAACAATGTACGCAAAACCTATTTCACACACACACACACACAGAGAGAGAGAGAGAGAGAGAGTTTGCAGTCAATCAGCAGCTGCTCGTCTGGGGCAGTTTAGTAGATAGAAATCTCAACACTTCAGGCAATTTCTCAGTCCCGTCTCTCTCTCTGTGAGGTTTTCAATGTCAAGGTCAGCGCTCTTGTGCTCTTGTGAAGCTGTAGTGTAGTTGCTAACTGTGTTTTACTGCATCATCATCTCTCATGTACTGTATCCTGATGCTGTTTTGTTCAGAGTTTGTTGAATGAGTCCGTGTGGATCCTGCTTCTGCTCCTGATGGGATTCTGCTGTTTTCCATCTGTTACATTCTAAAGATCACCGTTATTGAGGAGTTTAAAACAGACTAATGGGGGTCCACATTTTGCTTGCAAGGGTCTGAATTCTAAACACTTTTCCTCTCGTAGGTGTTTAAATATTTAAACATGATTAATGATTAGAGTGAATCGGCCAAATAGAGCAGCCTGGGTTAGCGGTTCACCGTCCGCTGTGCTTCTGCAGCCGGCTAGAAAGGCTCAGACATCAGAAAGGCTCCTAAAACAGTCTTCGTTCATTTCTGATTTCTGTCTTTGGATGTTGTGGTGAGATGTGGCGTGTTTCTGATGCTTGTGTGTGTGTTGTTTCTGTGTGTTCCAGCGGTGGTCAGTGCCATCCCGGTGCCCACGCTGGACAGCAGTCAGTATCCGGGCATCCTGCCGTCGCCCACCTGCGGATTCACCACTCACCCCAAATTCACCCTGCGGCCCATGCCTTTCTCCACGCTGAGCGTCGACCGCAGTTACGCTGCCGGTAATACACCTATCTGTCTGTCTGTCTATCTGTCTATCTATCTACCTGTCTATCTGTCTATCTATCTGTCTGTCTATCTGTCTGTCTATCTATCTATCTACCTGTCTGTCTATCTGTCTGTCTGTCTGTCCGTCCATCCGTCTGTCTGTCTGTCTATCTATCTATCTATCTATCTATTTACCAGTCTATCTCTCTATATATCTATCTGTCTATCTATCTATCTATCTATCTATCTATCT